GGCTTCGCGCCACCCGGCTATCAGATCATCTTCCCATACTCTCCACGGCCCCGAGTGGTCTTCGCAGGCTCTCCTATTCGGAGGAGAAGGGTACCGGCTTCTTCCGCGTCTTTCAAGAACGGCAGGCCAGGCGGCAAGTCCCGGTGCGAGTTTGTTCGCAAATCCCGGTAGGGTGTGCCAGCTCGAGAGAGAGAGAGGAGGTTCTGCAAATGCGTCAAGACAGATCGTTGCAGAGTGGTTTTTTATCATGGGCCATCTGTGCCAAAGGCCATGACCCTCCTCGTGCAGCAGGGTCTGCTTGCGCGGCACACCCTCCGCCGGGTCAGGGCGGCTCTCTTCCGCGCAGTGCTTCTCGGACCTGTGAATCGGCTCCCCTCACACGTTTCAGCGCTGCATGGCACCACGCCCGAACCTTTCACGCTGTTGCAAGCCCAGGTCCATGATCCTCGTAAACGTGGCTGGCCGAGAAATTTGACCACTTATTGTTCAGCCTTCATTTCTGTCTCTCTGCGGCCGTCGAGGTGAAGGAGGAGTCGTTTCCACACCTCCTCGAGCAGCTTAACGAGCTGGCGAAGGGACAGCACCGGGCTCGGCTGCGCTGGGTCTTGCTGGAACGGCCGGCGGCGCTCATTTTCCTGATCCGGCCGAGGCCGGAGATCCCGGACAAGTCCCACGACGTCCTCGCCAAGTTCTCAGGATTTCTCAACGAACATTCATCAAAGCCGATCTTCTGCCTCTGTTTGCCACTGAGGGCAGCTACATAGCTGCATTGAAGAGGATGGCGCTCCGCCTGACTGAGGAGTCAGATACTCACAGGGCCGACGGGCTTTGATCGGCGCTGCCCCAATAGAATTATTTCGTCCATGATGGCGGTCTGAGGAATGCCGACCAGTTCCTGGACGCTCGGGTCCTCGGAGTGTCTCCAAACTGCGACGAGGCATGATTTTTGCTTTGAAGCTTGCCGTTTGCATCATCCGAGGCCCCAGCCGGCCCGGAGGCTGTCTGCCTGTGCTCTTAAAGTCCATCGTGTGCTGACTGCGCGACAGGCTGCGAAGCTGCCCCTCATGGAGGAGGCAGGCATCTCTGCGTCTATTCAGGGTGCCTCGGTAGGAAGGAGATCTTCGTTGCAGGCAGCGAGATATGTCTTCCACGGCTACGACATGGCCGAGACAGGGTCGAGAGTTGTCTGCCTTTGCACCTCGGCAGAACTCAGTTTCAAACTGCTCGAGCCTAACCGCTAGCTTTCGACGTACTCCTGTTTGCATGCCAGGCCTTCTGCAAGCAAAGAATCCTCGTGCCACTGGGACGCACTTGACACGCTCTCCAAGCGCGACTGCTCCCCCCCCCACACCAGGTGCATGGTGCAGCCGTCGAGGCTGCAGCTTGGCGGTCCTCGAATTTGTCTTCATCGTCTTGCCACGCAGCAGGTGTTGACCAGCCAATTGCTGCCGAAGCTGGCCGAAAGACTGCGTAGCGCTTGGGCTCCCTGGCTCGCGTTATCGGAGGTTCCTGGGATGAGGGAGTGTGTGGACAGCATGTCGAGAGAATCGAGGCGCAAATGGCAACGGCCATGCAGCAGGACAAGGCTGGTGCCCTCCAAGCCGCGATAGCGAAGGAGCAGGTCTGCATCTGATGCCAGATCTCGTGCTCTGCATGATGTTTCTGCTCAGGACGTGCTGGATTTCGTGGTCGACCTCTTGAGCCTTGGTCAGCCTGCAGTGACGGAGGCGAGTCCAGCGGCGAGCTGTTCGGAATCTGCTTTGTCTGTGTGTCAGTGCGGGTCAGGCCGTGGCAGCGGGGATCGTCTGCGGTCCGCTGCTCTCCCAGCTGCACGTGCTGGCAACACCCGTTTGATTGGGGTTTGGGGTGGGATGGGGTGGGGGGATGTCCGCGAGCTCCGCTGCGTGAGCCAGGCAGAGCGCCATCGGTGCCTGAACAGACCCCAGAGCATCTGGGAGGCATCTGACGTGCTTGCGCGTGCTCGTGTCAGTTTGTTGTGGGTCCTGATGTGGCGCACTGCGAAGATACTCATGATGGATGTCGAGAACACTGGGTGGCCGCCTTTGTCGTGGCGCTGTTTCTGTGATGTGTACGCACAGGAAGCGTGAAGCCATGATATCGCGTGTGCCAAAGGCTCGTGCCCACACCGGAGGACGTCGATGCCATGCAGGACCAGCGTTCTCGGTCCAGCGCCAATCGGGCACTGCAAACAGGGTCATAGCCATAGCCGCGAGGCGGCCGAAGAGGAGAGAGCCCGTGCTGCCGAAGAGGCCAAGCTCAGCAGGTTCGGCTTTACACCCGCAGCTGGAGCTTTCGAAGGATCCACCGGACCAGCTTGCCGCTGTGCTTGCAGTCCGCTCTCCTCTGAGATCCGGTGCACGCGGGGATGCACAGGGATGCACGTTGTACGCTGAGGCTCTCTGGCCAAATTCTTGCAGAAGATGCGGAAGGAGGGATTGTCGGGAATCCTGGTCCCGTTGAT